CCGAAATACCGGGAGAATGGTCCACCACTGATATGGATCAAAACCAGCCCAAAACATCCGACACTCTACCAGAACCGATGGAGGTAGATGACACAGCATCCCTGGAATGATGGAGGTTGAGGAAGACCAACCGGGCGTCAGAGCAGAAGGGTGACGCGACCACCCAGGAACCTATCCCCACAGATGTGGGGCACGTCGCCACGACTACTCCAGAGCCTCAAAACATTGGACCACAACGCAAGTATCTTGTGGCCCCGGAAGGGAGGGGGCGTGTAGAGGTGGAATCGAACCTAAGACGCCCAGTTACAAGACCGGAATGGTCTTGTCGTCACACCCCCATAGAAGTAGACTCGCCCGCTTACATGAGAGGCGAGAGTGGGCTACTTAAACAAGACATTCACGGCAACGAGTGGCTTGGCAGATACACGTCGTCTCGCTGCTACCTTACAAACAGAAAATGGTGGCCAATATAGGATTTTGAGTATAAAAATGTATTACTCTCAAAAAATATTCAAAGGAGATATGCTAAGAATGAATATATATATAATATATATAAAATATACTCTTAAGGTGTGCTATATTTATGGGATAAAGTGCTCAATATCAGAGATACAGTGTGTGTAAATATAAAAGTGAACATAGAAGTCAATACTTAGAGGCAACAGTCTGTTTCATGCTAGATGCAATCATCAGGCCACCCACTTATTCCCATTTAGTATCCTTTTTTGTACACACACACATGTGTGTGTGTGTGTGTGTGTGTGTGTGTATAAAACTGGATACTAAAGGTGAATAAGTGAGTCAAATTCCTGAATAAGATATAAATATCCTTGTAAACAAGAAATATTTTGGTATTTTCTATAGTTTTGAGAAGGGTCATTGACATTCAAATTGTTCTTCAGCATTAGACTTAACAAATATATTTACTCTAACAAATATAACAAGAAATATTCTGATTGCTAGTAATGTATATTATTTTTAATTTTATAATTATGAACAAAACATGTTTAATCTTTTGTTGACCCTTGCAACACTAACCCTAATCATAAAACCGAATTATATAGTTGTCAATGGTCAAGTTTGATTTTGTTTGTTCTTTTATACTGTAGTAGCAGCCATTACAAAAGTCAGTATTACTTGTTACCTCCCTTCACTATTTTTTACTACATCATTAAAACCAGTTTATGAACCAGTTAAAAAAAAAAAAACTTATTAAACAATTTTGATTTGCTTTTGAATGTTTACTATACACGTAGACATTGGAAAATTTTTCAATGTGAAAATGGTCAATGATGCCAAAAAGTTTGGGGACCTTTGACCTAGAAAAAAAATATATATATCAAACATTTCCTTAGTATTTTTATCAAGTTGATGAAATACACATTTCATCCTAATTGTCTCAAAAATCAAGAGATTGAAAAATTAAATATTTTTTTAAAACTTTTTTTTTCATTTCTTTTCAGAGTTTAGATTAACATTTGGAAAATTCATATAAATTTTGGATCAATGAATAATGTTGCAAAATTCAGAAATTTCTTGCCATTAGATTCTTACTTTATATCTCCCAATTATTTTCTTGGAATTTTATTAAAGGGTCACATATACATGTCCTTTACTTGCTTCCCTGATAACTAAAATCTTAGAAATTGACGTTACATCTAAATTTTTTATCTTCCGTCCTCTTGAATCCAGCTCATTTTTTTTTTGTCCTTTTCTCAATCCTATTCAGAGTCTTCTCTCACCCCCCCCTCATACTAGTGGCATTCCCACCTTGCTTGGGGTGAAATGATTAAAAAAAATGAAAAGAAAAGATCGGGCGGATTCCTTTTTCGGACAGAACCACCGGGGAGACAGGACATAGTTGCAACAGGCAGGGTTTATTACGTTAAAGTTTGTTTAATCTTTAGTGGATGAACCAAAACTCATGACCTTGTGCCAGTTTAAGCCAACCTGAGTAAATACTGATGCATATATATCGCAGAAGTCATTCTGCAGATGCACATGTATCCAAGTATTATAAAAAGGATCTGACATTGCACTGGTAGAGTCCCTCCCTGCTTGAGCTGGTTTATGAATTCTGTTGTCCTAACAAGGCTAAAGGGCTTAGTATCTCTACTATTTCACTCATAGCTCAGGGAAGAAGAGTTTTTCTTATCTAAATGATGTTAGGGCAGTATTTGTTGAGACTTGAACCATATCCAGTGATTTCATTTCTGTAGACAATCATCACACACACACACTTATTCTCTTTTGAGTCACCGTTGTAATTGACATGACATAGGGAAAGACACACACACACATAATTCCTAAAGAAAGAATGTATCTGAGGAAGGCCATATAAGGTATCAGCTAAGATATTTGTTTTATAACAAGAATGAAAGAAGCTATCAATTCAACAAACCAAAATTTTTTTTCCTTTCTTTTTATTAAAAAAGAGATTTGACTTTGCATTGATTTCTTAGACTTGATAAAGAAAAATTCCTTGTTTTTTCAGTAAATGAAGGAAATGATTTCAAAAACTTTTATTTTCAGCAGATGGGCACAGTATAAAATCGGATGCTGTCTAAGGATGTCACTTCATTCTGTTTCTCAAATGCAGCCATGTTTTTCTTTAGTCTCAGATTGGATGTCAAATGACTGGTTGAAACTGCCAAACTACATATAAATTTTGGTCACTTTATTTTCAAATTACCTCTATCCAATCAGACTGGTGACGTTTAGTATATGAAAATAGAACTACTACTATGGAAGATATCTGGAGGAGTAAGTGTTGAGTCCTCACTGTGAATAACACATTTATATTTTGTCAGACTAAAATAAGATTAATAAATATCCTTATGAAATCAACATGAGAAGATAAGGAAATTACTGTTTGGAAATAGGATGATCCATTGAAACTTAAAATTCCTCTGGTTGTCAAATTTAGATTTCAAAGTTAGTCAAGGAGCAGTAACATCTACCTTAAGGTCGGCTCATAAACAACCATCTGGGAGGAGGAGGAGTTCTACATGTTTCTACATTAAATGTTAAACAGTTCAAAGGTTTTAAATTTCTATACTGCCAAACAATATTAGGCAAATGAAGAACAAAGTGAAAATCTCTCTATATTTCTGAGATGAGGTGTAACTATTTACACAATTCAGACTATTGTCCTTATCTTTATCATCATATTCACAATCCTTCAACCTTCTTCAGGTGATATATGTTAGAACTGAACACTTTATTTAGCCCATGGGGGTAAATTGTTCTAGTTCCACATACCATACCTTTTCTGGATATCTCAGTTAATTTCCTTTAGTAACTGAACTCTCCAATTTGTTTTTTTTTTTTTTCACTGAGCCATGTGGCATTGGGAAGACATCAGTGAGTAAATGTTTGGGACTTATGAACCTGATGTCTCAGTAACTACAATTTTTGTTATTGTTTGTGGCATAGCATATTTAAGTTATTTGGATTTTCCTGAGATGTTCTTTATCTATTATTTCAACCTCATCCCACAGAGGGTGGGTGATCTCTCTTTTTCTTTCACATATGGATAAAAGCATTGGAAATAATAATAATAAAAAAAAAAAAGAGACTTGACTCAAAGAGTCGTGAGTTCAATGCCTGGGCAAAGGTGACCAAAAATTTGCAGAGTTGAGTTTCTAAAGGGAAATAACTAAAAACTAAGATATCCAGAAAAGGCATGTCATGTGGAATAAGAACACTATTCCAGTAGACTAAATAAAGGGATCAACTTGAAATTCTAATGTCTATCATCTGAAGAAGGCCAGAGTGTACAATGTCCAAAACACTTTGAATATGACAAAGAAGATGAGGGCAACAGTCTGAATAGCGTAAATAGAGAAACTTTATGTAATACACTTCATCCTCTAGAAGGACTTTATCAGACTAAAGTAATGTTTGTTTTTTATTTTTTGAATTATATATACGTTGTGGGGAAAATGTGTAAAAAAAAAAAAAATATGCAATTGTTGGTTATGATTAAGTACTGAGAGGAAATGCTGAAATGTAAAATAATTTTTTTTTTTTTTTTAAATATATTTGGACATATATTCTAGACGTTTTCCTAATGCTTTTGTTTTTAAGTCTTCCACATTTGCTGGCCATGTTCTGACAACACTTCACATTTCTTGACAGATCTTCTGTTATCACAATGTGAGATACTTAAAGACAAAGGTTTCCAGCTTTGGGTTGATCAAGCACCAAGATGTTGAACTCTCTGCTTTCGGGCAGACAGGAACCCAGACGAGATTATGTCAAATGGCAGAGTCTTGTCTGGGGAGGTAGCTCTACGGCAGTTCTAGTTATTATTTTAATAACAACCCTGGACAACATTATAAAATCTTCAGAACTTATGGACAGGTATATAGAGGAAAAATTGTAAAATAAATTTTGATAATAAATGGTTGTTTTATTGGCGATGCAAAATATTTTAGATGTCAGTTGTATTTTTATTGGACACTCAAAATTTCGCTATGTAAAATGGAAGTAATTTTTGACAATATTATAATTTAATGAGCCACAGAAAAAATTCTGGGTTCAAAGTGGGCCATGAGCTAAAAAAAGGTTGGGAACCACTGGACTAAACTATATATCAAACATAAGAAAACAAAAAAAATATTTTTCATTTCAGCATTTTCATCAAAAAAAAAAAAAAAAAAAAAAAAAAAAAATTACTTTAGGCTTTCATTCTACTGGTTGAAACATATTACACAAATTTAATCAAATATGTAATGTCTAAATCGTCATTTCAACAAATCTTTCATTCATTTGAGAGTTGCAATGAATAGCAACAGCACAAAAAGAAAGATTAACCAAAAATTACTATTCTTAAACAAAATTAATATTAATTTATTAGTGTTTACCTGATATAAAATTCAATTTTCCTATATAAACAATCTTTAATGTAATAAATTTAGGCATTTTAGTATTGCAGCCTCCTCTGATAAAGCAATAATTTGACTTGAAATGTCAATTAAGGTTTCTTGTAGTTTCAATCAAATTCGCTTCTTTAAAAGAGACCAAGCTTTGTCAACCTGTAAAGAAAGAAAATAAAAAATAATTAATCATCATGAATGTAACAAAATCAGGTTTGCATTCTACACAGTGAAAGCCAAGTTTCAAAACTACAGCTCATTACCTGTGTGTGGTGGGGGTCCTGGAGTAATTGAAAGAAATTTTTATTTCCAATATTACTTATTAAAAATGCGACATAATATGGTAAGCATTAATTGTTTTTTTTTAACAGATTTTTATCCCATATAAATAATAAAGAAGTTTAAAATTCATGCTGTTTAATTTGAAGTGAAGAACGTTGCAATAAAATAATGACAATAATTCAACTAAGAATTCAGTGAAGACTAAAATAAAACCCAAGAAATCATGGCATATGTTGCTCTGCAAAGGTTTACACATAAATAAATCTATACATATATATGGAAGGTGGCAGAACTCAATGACTCAATAGGAAATTTTATATATATATATATATATATATATACACTGCACTTTATTTATGTAGAAGATGTGTTTGACATTATGGGAATGTTTTATTTTTCAAATGCAGTCAACACATTGTGGTAGTGTTCATAGTTAATGTTATTGACTGTTGGCTTGTCCGTTTTTATTAGGGCTTCCATTATTTGTAGAATTTTTTTTTTAACATGTGGATGTATGTTGCAGATGGTGCTGTGTTTGAAAAATAAGATATTTGGATAAAAAAAACAAAAAACAAAATCATCCTTGATAATGGCTAAAACAATAGCCGAAAGCGTTTAGATATTCAGAAAAGAAAACACACGAAAAATTCAACTAAATTAATTGCCGGTTGTCTTTAACGTAATCTGTGTGCATCTCTCTCTCTCTCTATATATATATATATATATATATATATATGTCTACGGTAGAGTATATCTTTAAAGACAAAAGGAAAGCTTATCTTAGCCAACGCGTTTTGTCCTCTGTGAGACTTTATCAAGGCAATGCAAAGATTTTATCTTGTATCACGTATTTATATACAAGAGCAAAAATATTATTAGTTTTTCAATATTTTAAGTATAGGAACCCTCATAAATATTCATCAGGTTAACTGAAAAAGCAAGTTATGGAAGACATGAAGTGACACAATTCAAAGTCTAATAAATGAAACTGAGTAAGTGATTTTTTTTCATTGATTACTGCTTTATGATAGGAAATTTTATATTCTGATAGGAAAGAGGAAAAATATTCTTCATTCATGCTCCTGTCAAGGCTGGCAATGGGTGGAACAGCTTTGTCATTTCTTGTTAACTGGGAAGATGTTATAAAATATTTGTCTAGTTATGTCTTCTTGCATCATAAGAGATAACACATTTTGGTCAATATATCTGGCATTTAGAGAGCATAAAAATATGTCAAATTATAACCTTCCAAAGGGCATTCATGCAAAGTCAATAGAACCAGTCTGAATACATATACTTACAACCCACAGATCCATTAATAATAATTTTACTGAGAGAGAATAACTAAACAATTATTAGAATTCTAAGCTAGGGTCTCATCCAGTAATTAAATTTAGATTACATTATACAGAAGAGGAAAATACAAGTAAGTATTGGTAAGTGAATTTTGTGGCTTAGTAATTCTGAGTTCAATCCCTGGGCTGGGTAGTACAGGGCTAGCAATAACTGAGCAATAAATAAAATTATTCCTAGACAGGGGCAGTGGAAGGAGAACAATCTAATTCTGTAGATTAAAAAAAGGGTTCTGTTCAAAATTTCAACAGGCACTTAACCCAGTTGAAATGTTGCAACAACAAAGATGAGAATGAGGACATAAATCCAGATGTAAATTATGATAATTTCTGGGATGAAGAATTATCTTATTTTCATTATTTGGGGCAAAATTTTTGGTAAATAAATTTTCGAGATTTCAAGTCAAATTGTGATAATTTGGAACAAATTAGCAGGTGAGACTTGAATTAGAACCCTGTAACCTGGGATTTGCTCTGGACTAACAGAAAACATCATCTTCATTGACAGCCAAAATTTTTTTTCCACAAGGTGGTTCTTTGCATTGACTTAAATTAACTTTAAAATCTTTTGATTCTGGGTTACTCTATGTTCCTACAATGGCCAAAGGTCAATAAAACAAAATAATAATTTTGGACAAACCATATAAGGTCATGCAGACCAAAGTCACCAATAATGAAATCTTACCTTTGCCTACAGTTTGGTTTATTTCATTTGGACTTTGAAAGAAGAAATACCAAAGCAAAATACTTCATATTCAAAAGTTTATGGTCATATCATGTTGCAACACCAGTTCTCATATGGTCATTTGAATGTGCTCAGTACCTAGATGGGTGACCACTTGGGAATACCAGGTGCTGTAAGCTTGGATCTGCTGGTGGTATAATGGATAACAGCTCGGAATTGGAGGGCAGAGGGCTGTGTTCCAATTCCAACCAGATTTGTTGTGTGACAGAGAGAGTCTGGGAAACACACACACACACACACACACACACATATATATATTTTCTTTTAGTGAAATTGGAGTAGATTTGGACTAACAAAATTGACCAGAGCATTTCGTTTACTGATGGGAAATCTGATCTAGGGCAGGAGCTGTACCCATTGGAACTGGGTCATTTGCAGACAATGGAAATGGTCAAAATAATTTTAATTGATTAAAACTTGAAATAGAGCTGAGTAAGCAAGGAGGACCTTTAGAATTCACATGATTATGGTTGAAACAGCCAAAACCCCGTGATAATCACGTGCAAAGTAGTAGGGCCAAGGTTCAGTTGTAACCAGTTGGATTTTTCTATATAAACGCATAGTCATGCTGAAAAAGAGGCAGACGGAAGAGAATTAGCCTGGGCTAGAGACAGTGGAGAGTCAAGTTGGAAACTCAAGAAGGAGAGAAAGTGATGTCAGAAATTGGAACGAAGCGTCCACTAACATGTACTGTTGATATAAGTACTGCTGCTTCTGCTACCACGAATATTACTACTACTGCTAAGGAGGGACGCCACTATAAACTTTAAGCCGCACACAGAAATCTTATTCCCCCATCGCAAGAGTTGTATATCGTTCTGATACGATTTAACAAGTTAATCATAACACACTCTCTCTCTGTCCAGAATCCAGTGTATGCGTTTTTACATCAATTACTTTTCTTTTCTGTAACCCATTTTCTTTTCTCTACTATTCTTTTCTGCTATATAAAAGACATTAACAATTCAATCATTGAATAGTTGTTTGTCCGGCTTTCTGCAGATATTAATTTTTTTTTTGCTGCATTCTAAATTTCTTAGCACAGACTCTCCAGCCATGTCTACATCTTCAGTCGACCGTGAATGGATGAACATCACTTCTGTTTTCTGGATCAAACCAAACAACGTGGGCAGGAAGCAGGATTAAACCAGTGGACCGGTCGAATAATTTATGGATGCTCAGGGGACCTAGAGCCACTCCCTTAAGTTTGGTTAGGACCGAGTAGACACTTCAACCCAGAGAGTAAGACGTCAGAGGTTGAGGCGAAAATATTAGAGTTGTATTCACTTACTCTAAAATACCTTTGGGGAAAGGTATGAATCCACCTTTTCTCCCACCAGCTATAGGTTAATTAGTAGGACTTGTATCAGTAAATTATTATTATCTCAAAAATTAAAAAAGCAAATCAATCAATTCATGTTCAAAACATTGTTTGAAACGAAAGCCTCGTCTTACCTGTCTCTGGGTTTCTTCATATTGCCACAATGTACTAAGGACGACATGTGCTGCTGAAACTCTTTCAGAATTTGACATCTGGCTTGAAATTCTTGCTTCAGCATCAACTTCACTTAATTTGTTTCTTTCTATAATCCTTTTCACAGCCTGTAAAGAGAAAATAGCAGATATGTACTCATCCGTCCACTCTTCAGTGGGTATCACCAACTGACTATATTTCTGTTTATACATTGTTTTTATAGATACAAATATTTAAGTAAATGCTCTGTTTATAATAAACAGTATTAAACAACATTTACTGGCCTGAATATCTGAGAAATTTTCATAGAAAATGTGTCCTCTGACAGGAATTGAACCTGTATCCTACACGGAACCATCATATAGTCTGACATGCTATGCCATTTAGCTATACAGGAAGCGTCTGATTAGCAAGGTCAAGTTAATGTTTTTTTATGATGGGAAATTTATAGTTTAAAAAACAGTAATCCGACCTTGCTAACCAGAAAATAAATTAAAATAATTGTCAGATTTAGTCCATTTCATATATATATATTTATAAACAATAAAATAAAATTGTCATTTAGCTGACGTTAAATTCTGCACCTTAACAGGAATTTTGTAGACAAACCTTTCTGTAATTGTTCACACACACACACAAATAAATATGGACAGTAATTTCTCCTTTACTTAAGGGTGGGTCTTTGAGATATGCTTTGATTTTCTTTGGTTGTTTTTGAATATTGCATCAATGAGTGTGATGTGTGTGTGTGTGTTTTTTCATGCATCAAATTGTGGTGTATTGCAATCTGTTTTTAAACCATAAAAAGCAAACAAGCTGGCATTAATAAAACTTAATTCAGTTTAATATGAAATATATTTCACAGTTAAAAGAAAATATGACAAAATACCACAAGGTGACACTATATATCAGTGTAGGGATTTTTCAAGTATAAATTAGTGATTGATATGGTTCTATATATAAAAGAATAGAAGAAGCCATTTGGCTTGAGCACAACACATTCCCCCAGATTCTGCATTCCAATGCACTTTGTTTCACAGCAGGTATTTACAGATGACAGGCTTTTCACTTAAATCTGTTATGTTCCAACTGTCATTGAAAAGCAGTTTCTTATTCTGCCATTTGCTTTTACTGTTCCACTAGATAGCAAGTCTTACGTTTGTTTGTTTTTTAATGCTTAGTAATATATTTAATAAGAATACCCTAAAATTGAGTTACAGCTGCACTGAAAATCTAGAAGGTATAATAATAAAAAAACACAGTAATAAAATCTTGAACAAACCCCCATGCCTGAATAGCATTAAAAAAAAACCTACACTTAAATCAGACAATAACAGTGAAAAATTATGTGACTGTAGAAACCCAGAAGACTGCCCATTAGAAAATAAATGCCGCATCAAATCTGTGGTATACCAATGTACCATATCATCCACTGAGAGTCCTAATACTAATATGATATACATTGGGTCCACGAAGAATGATTTTAAAGCCAGATGGAGGCAGCATAACTGCTCTTTCAACAATATGAATAAAAGAAATCAAACTTCTCTATCAAAATATTTTTGGCATCTGAAGGAAATAAATAGGACGCCTAAAGTAAAATGGAAAATTATAAATAGGACTAGAACTTGTAAAGCTTGGGATGACCCATGCCCTTTGTGCCTCCATGAGAAACTACACATTATTAAGTTTCTAAATAATAAAAATCTATTAAATAATAGACATGAGTTAACAGTTTTTTGCCGACATCAAATTTATGCACTGAATAATTAGCTGAAAACAAGCATACAATTTAATAACTTTTATAATCCATAGCCCAAATATATAGTTTAAATACCCTACAAAAAAAGATAATGAAGTCGTCAAAAAACAAATGTTACAGCAGTTTTTATATGCACAAATCCCTTTCATAAAGAAATACAATAAAAAAAAATAAATAAATCTCCATAGACACATAAACCAGACTAGGCAAAAACATCTTCCGTTTCAAATTTGGACACCCCCACCTTACCCTGACTTGACATCTATGAAAGTAACTTTATACTGATACATATTATTAACACCCAACATGCCCCTACCTAGTTTAAACAATCCGCCCTGGCTGTTACCATGGAAATTTTGATTTCAATTATGAATATACTATTAAAACACGTAAATTTCACAAATAAGTTATTCCAAAAAAAAAAAAAAAAAATTCGCTTGAAGATGGAACAGAGCTTACTTTAATTCAATTTAATTCAAATAATTATATTGAAGTTTTCGGCTCTTGTTTTGAAACACGAGAACTCTTATGTCGCGAGTTGGAATCATATTTTTAAATAAATAATTATATTTATGCTCTACTTTTGTATCGAGCACTATTTTTTAAAAATAATAACAAAAATACTAAGGAACTTTGGATTATTTACCTAACCAGTTCTTTCCTATTTTATATATATATATATATATATTAGAGTGTTTATTATGAACATACACATAGAGGAAAGTTTTAATTTCATCATGAATTACCTTTATTTTTTTTTTTCTTTTTAGAAAAGTTATCTTAATTTAAATTTTACTGAATGCAAAAATGCCATTTGTAGAAAATTTTGTAACTGTATGAAAGGGATATGGAGTTTTTTTAAATTTGTTCATTCATATAAACTAATTGCACCTAAAGACCAAGAAATTTTTTTTTTCAAAAACACATTTTAAAATTCTTTCCCATGTTGTGAAAGAATTTGTGTTTAATAGATGACTTTAAATGACTAAATGCTTAATAGATGAATTTTTATTTAATAGATTATTTCTTTTGTTCTATTAATTAGAACTTAAATTGGGGTAAGACTGGCTTTTTTTTTCTTTTTTTTTGTTCGTTAATTATTTCAACCCAAGCAAGGCAATAAAGCCACTAAGATGCAAGGGAGAGAATATGAAGAAAAAAAACATTATTAAGAAGCAAGAACAATAAAAGAACAAGAATTAAGACAAAATATAACAATTGACATTGCATTTAAATTTTTGACTGGGAAGCAAGAAACCGGAAAAGCATTCCACAATCAAGAAGCGTGAAAGAAACTGTTAGCATAGAACTTATTGTTACATTTAGCAATTTTAACTGTAAAATGATGAGACCTAGATGCCAATCTAGTACTATGCTTAAATTCATAAAGGAATAGGAAAGCTCATCAGAACAATTTCCATGAAAATATCAAAACAAAGATAGTAACATTTCATCATTATGAACATTACATGCAAACCCTAAATTTACCCCAGTCCAGATGGGTGGTTGTTCTCTCAAAGAGGCTTATTGCCTTGAATGTTTATTGTGCTGGCAAGTCTGGGATTTGGGCTTAGTCTGAGTGAATCCACATTCAAGTATATCTATTTCAAAGCAACAAAAATCCTTTGTAGTGAATCATTTTCATTCTTGACTTCAGCTGGATCCAAAATTGCTTTAACTCTGTGCCTCAAAATATTGACCAAAATAAATTTGTGGTTATTGTTCATAATAAAGAAAGAAAAAAGACAAAAACAAAGAAAATAAGTAAAAAAAAAAAAAAAAAAAAAAAAAAAGAAATAAAATTAATGTGGCTAGTCAGGCTACGTAGATCTGAGCTTGAGACATATTTCATAGGCAATGGATTTCTTGCTTTAATTTTATAAATAATCTTTTAAAAAATCTCTAATGACTTGTATGTCCTGTTTCTCAAGGAACACATTTTTATTTCAACTTATGGCTTTCAAATGTCCATTTTAAATAATTTCTTCCATACAGTATAAGTTTTTTTACCAGAATTTATCAATTGAAAAAAAAAGGGGCAAATTAAATTTAGCCCAACTTAAAATTGCCAAAAATCAATGAAAATGGCAGCCTTAACTCATCAACTGCAGGGTTGGGGAGGGGAGTGTGACTGGGGGGGGGGGTAGTGTTGATATCAGTCAACAGTACTGGTCATAAACATACAATAAATTAAGCTAAAAATTCACAGAGAGAGATACAAAAACACACTAATTAGGTTTATGTATGCGTCCACATGCACACCAACTAACACAGAATATTCCTGACTATATTTTAGTAGAGCAATCAATTTAGTATCTAAGTTATAACAATAGTATATTTTGTTAAAAATTGTAATGAGCCTGACAAACATTGATGACCTAGAGTCACCACTGGTCTATTGGAACTAAAGCTCACTCCCGACCTACCTTAGGTGGAACTTGTATATTTATACTAAGGCTAATGATTCTAGAGAAATGTTTGGTTCTTTGTACCACTCTAGAAATTCTATTGTCCTATCTTTACAAGAGTCAGATTAGACCAAAAATGGAGTATTTCTACCAGTCTCCTCAATGTTCAGTTTTGATAGAGTTTTAAAACAAGTAAAAACAATTTGTGGATGATGAATTATTTCCCACTCTGCAGTCCCTTTCCCACACAGATGAAATATCACTAGTCTCTCTCTAATGTATCACTATTTCTATGGCAACTGTTCAGATAAGCTGTATTTCTTGGTTCCACCAATTCAGAGGATCTGCTTTGCCACATACATGGCATCAATTCATCCGCATTCCCTTCATATTCACTTTGTAAGAAGGTAGTTCCACTCAGATAGTTTCTACCGCAGAACAGTTACTTTGTGGAACAGACTCCTATATCTTAACCTCTTCAAGTCTATGGTCAACCGTTATCTATCCTACATATCCTCATAATATGCACCTCTTCCTCACCCTGTTACACCCTTACAACAATCTCATTCAGTAACCCTCTTCTTTGGGTGGCTATTGAGCCTTGTTTTGGGTGAACAATACTATAAAAATATATACTATTTTATCATTAATATTTTTCTAGTACTTGTTTAATCATTAATAGTCATTTTGTGCACTCATCTGATGTGCTGATTGATGTGAATTCGAGCTTTGATATGATATGCAATACATGTTGATTAAAAGAATTATCATAAGAATTTGATGTGGTTTTATTTTATTATTATTTCGTTTATCTATTGAAACTAATGACGTTAACATTCTCAATAACGACTGGAGATGGGTGAAAATAGTCAAAAACTTTATACACTTTGTACAGGTTGTAAATCTGATCTGGATACAAGACAGTTTATGGGGGGAAAATGTCATAGCAAAAACTTGAAATCCATGAGGGTCAATCTTAATAACACACACTGTGTGTGTGTGTGTGTGTGTGTGTGTGTGTGTGTGTGTGTGTGTATATATATATATATATATATATATATATATATATATATATATATATATATATGAATAATGTGCATAGTGGAGTAATTGGATGGTTGCTTGGATTGAGGAATTGGAGAGCCAAGTTCAAATTCAAGTTGAGGTCATTACATTCACCTATGTACTATTACCCTTGATAAAGGTATGAATTCATCTTTTCTCCCCTCCCGCCAACTATGGATAAAAAGCAGGACAAAATGGATTCTATAGTCTTGGATGGAAAACATTATAGGATAAGAATAAGAAAACTCAGAATTCAAAATCTGACGTGGGTCATTTAGGGACCTTGTGTCATGCTGTGCACCAGTTTTCTGTATTTAGCTCTTCCTAAAAGTGTGGCCAGTTCTGCACAAGCCTTCGCCACTATAATCAAATCATATGTGGTGTTTTTCTGGCTGTTCGGTTCTAAGGACTAAGCTGCTGGACCCTCAGACATTGAAAAATAACAGCAGAGTCCTTTACATACACCCCACCATAAAACTTTTACTTTTTTTTTTCACTAACAATCAACAAAGTCCATTCCTTAGAATAGATTGAGATGTGATGCTTATGCATTCAATTTTCTGTGCAAAAAAAAAAAAAAAAGAACGGTTGCAAAATCCCCCAACCCCACCTAAATGCATACAAGAGAAATGAGGTTTTGTATTGTGGCAAATAAAGAAAATCTTCTGGGTAAGTTGTGTTTAACTATGTATATTCTTTTTCCCCTACTGGAACAATATGCATGGATGCCAAAGATATTTGCTGAGTTGGGTTTTACTTTATATGAGATCTCAAATCTCTTGAATTCACTGCAAGATTAACTCATTGATTGCTGGTGAGGCAATCCATACATGGAAATATTCCTTACCTCAGTTTGGGGGATGATGGAAACCCAGACTTCATGAACCATGGAATTCCACTTGGCTTCTAAAAGCACAGCAGCTTCTAACACGACAATTTCTTTCCCTTCTGCAAGATGAAAAACAAAAACATTATCAAGGGAGAAGTGCTTGTGTATATGACTGCCTCAACCATCCCATCTTCAACCTTCTCTGAAAGCCTAAGGATATAAGAATGATTAAAAAGAAAAAAAAAAAAAAAAAAAAAAACTAGAGGGGGGGGAGGGCGTGATAATGTTTTCTTCATACTAAACACTGAATGATTTTTTTTTTACATAAGAGTTTCTAGGAAGTGACACAAAGTTGTTATCAATTTTCTCTGCATTTGAGGAGAAGGGACACTTCATTGTATGCACATTTCTGTCTGTGATAATAGAATACACATATGACATAAGGTCATTTGAACCTGTGTCCACTTGGCTTTGCCTTTAAAATTATTCTGTCAGCTTTCATGCAAGAAAGGCTACCCAAAAAACATGTTGATGAGAATGTGAGTTGAAACAAAGTCATATTATTTATGAATTTGTTTTCATTGTTAAGAAATTCATAAATAAAAGCATTTAAAAAATGATGGAAGCTGTGGAAAAAAAATTAAGTAAAATCAATAAATAAAATAATAATAAAGAATAGAAAGAAAAAAAGAAATGTAAATACGTTTTCCCATGATGCTCTAGTAATAAAGGAACTGGAAAGGATTTTGGTCATCTATGCAATTTTATTCAGAGCAGATTTTTGGTAAATGGGGGTCCTGTTTTACAAAAATAAAACCCTGATGATTTAAATTCTTTAAGGAGTCCTGCTTTTAACTAATAAAATAAAATTTAATAAAATAATAAAACCTCATCTGTGAGAGAGATCTTTCATATATGGACAATCTAGCGATTCAGTCATCTGGTCTATTTCAGTTCCAAATTGTTTTGGAAATTAATGTGTAGACTCAATATTGTGTATGTAAAACCATGAATTTCATTATTTGAATCATTTTGGTGAAGATTTGTTGGTAAATATTAATACCATTTGGAATATGTTGTTGTTGTTTTTAGTGATTTTTTGTAGGCCCCGGGAAGGCCTGGGCACATTTTGGTCTGGCTCCATCCCAATTTTCAAAAAGTTCGCTCATTTCCTTCTATTTGGAAACAAATGAGTAGAATAAAACACTTCCACACTGTTTTTTGAAAAATTTGGTCTCTATCGCCTACCCCTAATTGTAGGAATCTGAAAATAGATATTTTAATTCCCAAACACTGTCAGTACATTTTGGCCATGTTTATAATTGATGTTGTTATGGGTTGGTTTCTTGTTTTTCATAACAGTTTTAAGGTTGTGTTTGTGTTCACATATAATCAATTAAAGAAGAGCAACAAAATCTTGGGTTTCTACCACAGACCATTTATTTATTTTTTATAGAAACAGTAAAGAAACAAAGTTCACAATGTCTCTTGGGTATGTCTGTTTTCATTTTCTGGTAAGTTAGGGTAAGTAATGATAAGAATAGTTAAAATGATTGATATGAAATCAACTTTGTGCTGAGATGGAACAACCAAAGTAAAGATTTTATTTGCTTTATTGGTGAAGGCTCTACACAGCATATCCAAACACTATGTGTTGGAATGTGTGTGTGTGTGGGGGGGTAAATACTTTCAGAAGTGGGGTCATAAAATTGTGTAGTAAAAATCTTTTTTTTGTGTCAGTGAGTCCGCCAAAGATATTAATATTAGGAAATTTGTGATTTTTGGCTTTTAAAAACAGATTGTTTTGCAAATTCTTGCAAAAATCAAATAATTGTCAGATTTTAATCAAACTTTCAGAACTTATTCACAAATGAATGAAATTATTTTAGACATTTTTTTTTTTTTTAAGAAAATCATGGTAAAAATATTTTTCATCTCTGAATTGTAATATACAAAACTCAGACATTATTGAATTAGAAAAGCTTTTAATAACTTTTATGTTAATGTATGTTAAGAACAATATTTTTCTAATAAAAAATGAATTTTTACAAGAATTCCCCCCCTCCTAATTTTAAATACAAAATGTCACAATTTTAAAAGATTTAACAACTTTAAGTTCCAATCCATAAAGTTTAGTGAATGCTGTAATTAAAGTAGAGCTATCTTTATAGATTATAAATTTGAAAGCTGATTTGTGATCATCCAGCTCCTTATTTTAAAAAGAAATTTTAAACTGCTTTTGAGTGTGCATAAAAACATTTTTTTTTTCAAATATATAGATGATCGTATGACATTTCATTAGCTTTAAGAGTTGTTTCCCTTGACCTCAATAAAATGATCTCAGAAAATTTTAGTTTTCACACTGCGAACATGTGTATGAATTCTCTGTTTTTGACTATCAGTGTCGCATTTTCCAAATTTTTTTTTTTATATCCTATTTCACTAAATATATTTGTTACTTAGTGAGAGACATACTGCAATTACTTTCTTTTTTAGTTTCCACTTTATGGATGAAAGCAGTGATTCAGGCTTTGGATATCTCTTTGTTAGAATATTTTCAAAATAAGTCCACCAAATTTTTATGAAAGTCTGAAATCAACTGCATATCAGTTTTTTTTTTATTTTTACACTTCTATTTTTAGTGGACTATGATTAAATAAAATAAAAAGTGTAAATGATTACGTAATTAATATAAAAATCTCATATTTTCATAACTGTCATCATATTAAAAAAACACATTAAAAAAAAATAACGTCATAAAAATGAGAGCAGTATCTATAATTATTAGGTATCTATCTTATTAGGTAACTTATCTTATGAAAGTTTATGGTATTATCTGTAATTATTAATTTTTATATTATCTCAGTTGTGAAATTTTTTTATAACTGATATATAAAAATAATAAATAAAAATAATATTATAAAATTTCATAAGAGATGTATGTAAAAATTAGGCATCTCTTATGAAATTTTACCTCTCTCAGTTATCAAACTTTAAATTTATTTTTTTAGTATTTTAAATTTTATTTGTCCAGAAATCATCTTCAAACATAAGGCTATATAAAGCGAAAGTACCTAAATAAAAAAAATAAACTGACCTCAGATTGCTGAAAGTATTTGTAAATAGTTAATAAGATAGATAAATTTAAAAAATTAGTTAAGTTAGTTCACTTAAAATTATGTCACTTTGGTTCTTCCATCCAATAACTTCCCCCTGAACTAAGCTGTCAATCAACACCTCAAAAACAAGTTACTGCAGTTAACACATACTTTTTAATGGTATTCCACAGACGTAAGAAAAACAAGATTTTTTTTTTAATCAAAATTTTGAATGTTCTAAAAAGCATGAAAAAATTTAATAAAAAAAAACTTTGGTCTTTCCTCTTAATAATAATAATAAACATTTAGATGATAAAAAGTTTTTCCGAAAATTAGTGGAGATACCTACATTTTAGTATTTCTATTTATATAATGTTTTACTGTGATAAAGATTTGAGTCGATCCTAACAGAGTACAGTTCCTTTATTCAGAGCTTCAAATGAAAAAAAACAAAATCATAATTATTATTTTCAAAATATTCTTTAAAAAAGTCAACACCCTCACAAAATTCAAATGTAAAATGTTTGATTTGTTGCATTATGGAAATGGCTGAAAAACCATTGATATTTTTTTCATTATTTCAATATTGATCTTTAATGATACAACTTTTTCTAACAAGTGCTAATTTTTTTTTTTTCAAGTTATTTTGATTTTATGCTGAAAAAGCTTTATATTTTTATACAACATTCTCATTTTTTCCACAACATATTCTAAGCTAATAATAATGTAACGTTTAATTTCTTTTTTTGAAAATGTTCCACTATAATTGCTAATAATTCTAGTCATCGTAATGTATGTTATTTGTCAATAAAAATATTTGATTTTAAAGTTTTTTGTTTATTTTTATCAACTTTTGAAAGATTTTATGTTAATATTACTTTTTACAAATAAAAAACAAATTTTGCAAATTCTAAAAAACTTGCCACAATGCCCTCATTTTTAAGGGGTCCACCGGGGCAATTTTTATCTCAGGCTCAACTCATTGCTGAAACTGTTCCAAGTCTATTGATTGTTATGCTAGCATGAAGTCAAATGTAAATGTCCCTGAGAGTCTGATCGTACTAGATTATGCTCGCTCTCTACCAAAACAGTACAGTTGTAGTATAAACCATAGGCTGGTTCTGTAGGTGAAGAAAAAACACAAAATGCACCCATGCAGGTATCTGCAAGTCGCCATAATAGAATCCATAAACTGACAGATGCCTATTATATATTAACATCTTTTGCAGAGTAGTTGAAAAATCTAAGAAGTGTCTTTAATATTTATACAAATTCTTATTATTTGTGCAAACTTTAGGAAAAAATTCAATAAATGGATTCTACATGAAATTACAGAAAGATATTGGTCAGCATTTAAATACTTGTCTTTCAAAGGCTTCACAAAGAGCAAAATAACCCAGTTTTGATTTTGCTAATGACTATAAAGAAAAATGTGGCTTGATCCAGAACAGATTTCAGCCTCTCAACCAATAGATTTTGATGTGGTTAAGGATGAAGTATTCTGCATAAAACTACAATGAGCGATTGACATGTAAAGAGAGAAATTCATTTTAAAGAAAACAAAAGAAATGGATTCTTTTCTTTTTAAACAGAAAAGAAGCCATGGATTCAAAACAAATTTTTTTTTTTCCTTACCTTGAGCAAGTTTTTGGATTTCTAATTCAACAAGTTTTGCTATGGCAGGCCACACAATTTCATTCAGTTTTTTTCGCATGTTCTTTAAAAGAAAGAAAGAAATGCTATAAATAATAACTCTTGCATTTTTTGCTTTCAGAAAGAAAGTCTGTCATATATGAAGTAACAATTTCATCTGGTTTGTTTTGTTACTTCTGACTTTTCTTTCGTACATGCAAAGAAGTGAAAGACAGAGATTCCTGTAATCAATTAAAAGTGTAAAAGTAGAGTGTATGTCTTAGTGAGGAATCAGTTGCTGTATAAAATGAGTGTGTATTTTCTGTTTTATTTCTTTCTTTCTGTACTCATGAATCTCAAATTGGTAATTTTTCTCTTCAAACCATGACAAATATTAAAAAAAGATTTGCTCCATATACTATGCTTGAACCTTTTAAATATGATGCTACACCCACTTTCCCTAAAAAAAAAACCCTGTAACTGTGGAAGAGGGACATGTTTCTCAAAAAAAAAAAAAAAAAAAAAAAAAAAAAAAAAAAAAAAAAAAAAAAAAAAAAAAAAAAAAAAAAAAAAAAAAAAAAAAAAAAAAAAAAAAGAAAAAAAAAGAAAAAAGAAAAAAAAAAAGAAAAGAAAAAAAAAAGAAAAAAAGAAAAGAAAAAAAAAAAAGAAAAAAAAAGAAAAAAAAAAGAAAGAAAGAAAAAAAGAAAAAAAGAAAAAAGAAAAAAAGGAAAAAAAGGAAAAAAGAAAAAAGAAAAGAAAAAAAAAGAAAAGAAAAAAGAAGAAAAAAAAAGAAAAAAAAGAAGAAAAAAAAAGAAGAAAAAAAAGAAGAAAAAAAAAGAAGAAAAAAAAAGAAGAAAAAAAAAAGAAGAAAAAAAAAGAAGAAAAAAGAAAAAAAAAATGTCAAGAAAATTAAAATCAAGAACCAATCTTGGCCTATTGTTAGATTCTTATTCGGTAAGTTTAGTCTTGATAAAAGTCTACAAGTATGGGGCACCCAGTGAAGATCAAACTCACTGATACTGATCTTCAAGTTTGCTAACCATTACACAAGGCAAATGTCATACTATTAATGAATTAGCAGAAATTGCTGTTGTTTCTTGGAGTTACATTTAACGGATTTGGGTACAAAATAAAATTATTGTCTAAGTTACATGCACAAAGATAGGGGAATAAAAAAAAAAAAAATCAGCACAATGCAATTGAGCAAATCAACTAAGCAGACGGTAGGGACACATTACCTAACAGCAAATCCAATAACCACACCTTTACTCCTGTAAACAATTTGTGAAAGTCCGTTAAAGAATTGTAGAAAAATGCAATTTTGTACTAACACCGACTTACAGAATATTTGACTCATTTTTGTGCAGTTTGTCAGCTCCAAATTTGAATTTCTGTATTTATATAAATTAACTAATCAGTGACATCATATGAAATGTGCAGTAGCCTTTGAATTTTCAGACAATTTGTTGTCTGCTAAGAAATTTTGAAGGATAACTTCAGAAAATGATCAACAATATTTACTCTCCTTAAAATGGATATTTAAAAATTGGGAAACATATTTATTACCCAATAAACTTATGAGTTTAGTAAAATCTAACTTTTAAATTTTTGGAGCCTATATTTTTCTTATAACTATTGTGATGTTAGTAAATTATTTTTCAGTTAACCTTTGACCAGGGTTGATTGTTCACTGTTATACAAACCTAAATTCTCAAACTTTAATTAATTACTCATATTTTTGCATATTTATTCAAGTGTACTATATTATAAAAAAAAAAGCTTAGCAATATTGAAACAAAAAACGTATGAACCGAGTTATTTCACAAGACAGATTTTTAGCAATGGTATTAAAACAGCTTCAACTGTCATTTTGGCTACCCGCTAGCATGCGGCTACTGGAAAATTACACATATACATAGAGCAATGTAAAAAACATTACACACACACATTCTCATATGTAGACATATTCTATTTTTATTCACACTAACAAAATTGATTTAGTTGTATTGTAAAGAAGATAAACAAAAATATCTTGTGTGAAGTTGTTTTGCAAATAATCTTTGTAACACATTTCTTTCAATCTGAAAGAAAATTAATACTCAATAATAAAGATTTATTTAAATTTGTAGAGCCATGTTAAAGATCATTTATTTTTTCATTTATCCCTGCATATTCTTCCACAAACTTTTTTCAATAAGAATATTAAGAGTGGATCAAAAAGTAATATCTTTTTTATTATAGCAGAAATAAGGAACACAATTAAATATATACATCAAGATATAGCTATACATCACAGGTCCACTTTTCAACATTTCCATTGAAAGAGGTGGTGACTGTATTTCCCTTACAACTGGGGGCATGTATCCCAGCTTCATAAAACTCAGTTGGCTACAAATGTAACCAATTGCTTACATCAGTTTTCACTTAATATATGATTAATGTAACATTTACCTTGAACATAAATATGCTAGACAGATATCTCAAAATCCTGACTGGTGAGGAAAATTTTGTGTACAATTTCAAAATCACAGTACTCAGTTTTGTCTGGGTACCAAACAAAATGATTTTTTGTGGAGTGAGTAGCCATTGTTAAATGCAAAATAACTAACAGAACTCTCCAACAAACAGAATTGACAAAGTTTGCAATCAGCAATAACAAGAAAAAAAGAAAAGAACACGGCAAAAAAAAATAATATAAAGCAAGCAAATAATATATACTATGCAAAGTAACAGTAAATATGGCCAAAAAGTTCACAAACTAAGAATTGTGGTTGACACACCAGATCAAGTTCAGACAAGCAAATGTAAAGTTTTCACTTCAAGACAAGACAGACCAGGACTGAGTCATATGAAACCAAGAACAAGCCTATTTGATTGTCTAGGAAGAAATCCCAGCATACATTTGTGTGATTCTGCATATAAATTGGGGAAGGGAAAAGTGTTTTGCTGTCATTCCTCAGGAGATTGGAATCAACATATTTTTCCTGAATTTCTGGGAGGAGGAGTTATTATTTACACTACTTATACAACAACAAAGATGAGGACAATAGTCCGAATATAAATTGTGTAAAAGAAAAAAAAAACCTTTTTGTTTCAAGTGCAAATCAGCAGACTTGATTTTCTCTAAAGAATACTCTTTAATCCATTTAATGCAAATCATAGAAATTTGTTCAATGTTATTGAAGAGATAGATATTTATTTCAGAACATTTCAAAACAGAAATAAGAGAGATGGTCTTTCTTTTACTATTTCATTCTTGTGAATAGTAAAACAATTACAAAATATTTTAGTCACAAAAAAGAAAAATAAATTACCATTTTTACTGCCAAGAACTTTTCAGTGACTTTAAAAATCAAGAATAATCACTTTATTTGCAAATTTGCTGAACTAATTTTTAGGACTTTTTTTTATGAGATATTTAAAGCCAAAGGATATTGGGGGGGTGGATTGGAAGAATTCTTCTTTCTTTGCAAGTGGATATTGCATTAATTTTTTTTTTTTAGATAACAATGATTTTTCCAGATACAAGTCCTACTATTTAACCTATAGCTGGGAGAAGATGGATTCAAACTTTTCTAAGGGTATTTGTGCTTAAGTGAATATAACGAACTTGACTGGAATTTGAACTTGGCCCTCTGATTTCTCATTCCATGCATCATTAAACCACGTGCACATCCAATTTCTCTATAGATAAAAAAAAGTAATCAATTCTTCTTATTAAACCATCTATGCAGGTAGTTGTCAGATAAAAAAAAACTACACACATTCATATTGTAAATAACATTTACTTACATCATCAGTAAAGACAATTTTTCCTAAGGCAGAACGGTTTATCTCTCCATCAATATCGACAATGTTTTCACCAAATATGTTCACTAATTCTTGAAAGACAGGGGTTCCTTTTAAATAGGCCTGATGACCTGAAGAAGGTAAAAATAGAGACAAAATACATTAAACTTACATTTCAAAACAATGCTTATTTACTTTTATTAGAATTTCTCTAATTTTTCAAATCAATATTTTTTTTTTTCATTATTTACACTATTTACTTTTGGACTATTGTCTTTATTTGTTGCTGTTATCACAACATTTCAGCCGTTTTGTCCTCCAGCCAGATTTCTGAGTAACCTACAGGGAATTCCACAGTAAGGAGTGCAACAATGAAATCAGGCATGGCTGATCATGTATGAAGAGAAAAGGGTAGTCATCATCCCTTATGGAATCAAGTGAAAATACTGGACAAGGAAGAAGACTGGAGAGTTAGAAGTCTGAAAGAATCAGCATGTTAGGATATGAGGATCTACTTAGTAGACCTAGCATAGAAATAAATATGGGAGATGTTAATAAAGAAAGAAAGATAAATAACAACAAATCTTCAGCAGCAGATAAATTTGGGGTTAGTACAAACCAACCCTGCCTAAAATTCAGAGTCATGCTACTGGTGAGAGAAAATAAATATTATATATATATGCTTATAAATATAATTGACAATAGGAAAACTGTAGTAGTTGCTGACGAGTTTTGTCCATGGTGGACTTTCTCAAAGCAAAAAATAAAGTAACTAATAATAACAAAAACAAAATGTCCTTAGCAACTGGAAGAATTTAGAGGACGCTATTTTCATACTGTTAACTGAAAATTACATCAATTACTGTCATGTGTGGAGATTTTGTTATTATTACTGTGTTGACGGATTCAACCATTTTCTTTTGATTTTACGATATTGTTGTGCACGTTTGTTTGTTAGAGCAGTAATTCTGTTAAGAAAGGTGAAACAGGGAAAAAGCCTGGGCGTAGATTAATATATATATATATATATATATATATATATATATATATATATATATATATAGAATAAATTAAAATATATAAAACACATACACACAAGGATGGATCAATAAATATATTAACTGACAGTGATAAGTTAAATACTGATGTAAAATTTTCACTTTGATATATTGAGAACCATGAGGTTAAGTACATTGACAAAAAAATTATGTTGAGAAATAGTTATGTATTTCCTTCTAGTACCAAAGAAAAAAAACAGGATTTGGATACTGATTTTGAGGACATAATAAAAAAATTAAATAAAATTATATTTTCACACACAATCTCCATGATCTCATTTCATATTCAAGTATTTGCAATGCATTTACATCATACATATAATAACCTTACACTATCAGTAATGATTGCATTCATTCCTGACCACTGACAATCCCTTTCTGATTTTCTTAGCCTTCATTTCTATATTAAAATCATCAGCAATTAGTTTTATTGTTTTCTATTATAACACTCAACTTGTTTTTACATTCTATAAACATTAAACGAATATCTTGGATTGGAAATAAAGAAGTTTTAGCTTCTAATGAGATTTTAACTGGCATCCCTTCTCATTGGGAGCCAGTTTCACATGGGCAGTGCCTTATTAATTAGGCTACAAAATCTCAAACAGAATAAAAAAGAAAGAAAAATTGTTCCCTCAATACAAGGCCTAAGACCCACTGTTAAAATGGTTTATGATGAATAAGGTATGTAATATGAATGAAAACAAAGGTGGTAGGAAATTAGAATTACGTGGATAGGGATCATAGATAACACGGAATCATAGATACAAAAGTCTGTTCCACCAATTAGCAATTTTTTGGGAAAAAGCTGAGTAGAACTTTCTCTTTACATTTAGAATATAGAGGACTGCTTGATTGAATAATTTGCTTACAGTTTGTCAACCCTCAAATATTTCAGTTTGTAAGAATAATTTTAATTTTTCTTGATTTTTCCAGATACAATTCCTTACTATTTAGCCCATAGCTGGAGGAAGATGGATTCATACCTTTTCCAAGAGTATTTGTGCAAGAGTAAATGTAATAAAACTAATTGGTATTCAGACTTGGCTCTCCACCTTCTCATTTCAAGCCACCATCCATTACACCAAGCATGCATTCACATGGATATATGGAGGACACAAGGGTGATTCAACTCTGTGGCCGTAGAATGGCTTGTCCTAGTTTTAAGGTTCTGAAATGGTGGAACTATAGAATGGACTGATAATCTGAACATTTGCCATGGAAATAGCAAACGAGCAATGCCAATGTTCTTTCTTAGAAATATGGACAACTAGCAGCATAGCCCGGCGTTGCCTGTGCTTGATTCAAAAATCGTACGACTCCTACAGCAATTGCTATCACTTGACATAAAATATTTTTGCCCTTCCTTGCCTTTAAAGGAGTGCCCTTTGCCATGCTGATGTTGCTACATGCCTTACTTTTTGCCTATCTCACACTGCAAATTTTTTCTAAGCTCTATACTAAACATTAATTCTGTTACAAAAAAAGAACTAAACAAAATGAACACAAAACAATCAGCTTTAAAAAAGGACTTGTAACTGGAGAAACCGAATGAAAAAAGAATGTTAACAACAAATACTTTTTCACACCCAACCCAGTTCTGCAGAACCAGAATCAACATTGAATTTAAACAAGCGAATGAGCCAATTGGAGTAAAGTGCTATGCAGATTTAAATTTTTCCCACTTGTGACACATGCAGCTATCGATTTTTTTTGCATGCTAGTTAACATTCGTGTCAGTCAGCTGTTGGCTCTCACACTGGCCAATAGAATCTTCCTGTCTATTCGCGGCAACCAGCTATAGGCTCTCACTCTGGCCAGTACAAAATGGCTGCAAACTACATGAAAACTGGCGTAGAAGCATGAAAAAAATCGATTATTTCCACTATCGATGGGAGTTGGGAAATGCAAAATCAGTCTTGGCCTTCCCGCTAACTTGGAGTATGTGCATGTAAATTTTGGTGCAAATCCGTCAAAAATTGCGTCCGTGCATTCGTTACACACACACACACACACATCCTGCCTTTTATAGATAGAGATTTAATGCTATTATAGCTATTACAATTACTTTTTTCTTTTTTAAATCAATTCACCCCAAGAAATAATAAGTGATAATGCCACTAAGATGCAAGTGGATACTGGGAGTAAAAGAGAAAGAAATTTTTTTAGAAGGAACCAGAAACCTGATCCTAAAGAGGGATGAACCTACTTTATGTTCAAGGTAAATGTTACATTAATCATATTAAGTGAAAACTGATGTAAGCAACAGGGATAATAGGTGAGCTTATCTACTCCAATTGAGGAATACAAACAATAAAACTGTGACTTTAGTAAAAAAGCTATTTATGATAAATAGTATCCGGTCATTCCATAAGTTCTGTCCGAATTTTAACTTTTTGTTAAAATAAACGAAATTTAAAGAGTATTTTATAATATCTAATGGAGCTGAACATTATTTTTATGCTTAGATACATTTAAACCGATCAAATTTTATTTAAGACAACAAAAAATTAAATTTTGTTTGATTAAAACCCTGCTAACATGGAAGTACCCAAGAATCATTTGAGGCACATAATGCTTTATGAGTTCAAAAAAGGAAACTCAGCAGCCAAAGCGACTAGAAACATTCACTCAGTTTATGGAGAGGAATGTGTGAATGAAAGAACTTGCAGAAGATGGTTTGTAAAATTCAGAGGTAGAGATTTCACCCTTGAAGATGAAGATCGAACCGGACGTCCAGTTGAGTTTGATGAAAAGCTTCTTGAAGCAGCTGTTGAAGAAAATCCTGCTTTATCAGTTGAGGAATTGGCAGTGGTTCTCAGTTCAAACTATACAACTGTTCATCATCATCTTCAACAACTTGGAAAAGTTCCTAAACTTGGAAAATGGGTGCCTCGTGAATTGTCTGAAAACAACCTCAAATCCCGAGTTGACATCTGCTCTTCTCTCCATTCTCACCAACTTGTTTCACCTTTTTTGAATAGACTTGTGATTGGCAACGAAAAATGGATCTTTTATCGAAATGTTAAGCGTCGTAGACAGTGGCTTGGTAAAGGGGAAGGACACAGCCGAGAAGTGAACTTCATGGGCAAAAGGTTCTTTCAATCTGGTGGGATCGCCAAGGAATAATCCACTTTGAATTCTTACCACCTAATGCAACAATTAATGCTCAAATATACTGTCAGCAATTAGAGCATTTGAACCAAGCTTTGAGGAAAAAAAGACCTGTTCTAGTGAATTGAAAAGAGGTGATGTTTCATCAGGACAATGCGCGACCACATACAGCAAGAATCACGTCACAAAAGATCAAAGAACTTGGTTGGGAGAAAATTCCTCATCCACCTTATTCTCCCGATCTTGCTCCTTCAGACTACCATTTGTTTCATAGCTTACAGAATCATTTGGAAGAAACAGCTTTTGTAACACAGGAAGAGGTTAAAACTGACATTTGTGAGTTCTTCAAATCAAAGCCAAAAGAATTTTACAGTAATGGAATTATTAAGCTTGTTAATAGATGGAAGGAAGTCATAGATCATCAGGGAAAATACATTGTTGATTGAATCTGTAATTAAATGTAACATTTGGTCACTTGTTTTCTTTATTCAAAATTCGGACAGAACGTATGGGATGACCTGATAGATACAAAATAAATTGAACACAAAACAAAAATGAAACTTCAAGTTTATCACACTTGATTGACTTGTCTTTCTTTCATCTTATTATTGTTGTTTATCAAAACAATAAAAAGGAAGAAAAAATAGTTGAAAATTAATGATAAGTATTTCAAACCAGAGTGAAACATACCAAGTTTATCACAGTTAATTGTTGCTGCCCCTAACTTCTGAAGTCGATTACAAATTGAAGATTTACCAGATGCAATACCACCGGTCAAACCAATCCGATATGGCCGTGAAGGAATTTGTAAATTGGAAAGCTAAAAGGGAGTGAAAAAAGAAAGAAAACAAAAATCTGTGTTTTTAAAGGTTTTCACCCATAAAATTTTTAGATTCTCACAGCCTTACAAGTCTAACTCGATAGAATGATTGCCTTTAATAGTTGGATTAATTATTAATTCTCAAGAAAAAAAAATGCATACATTCAGTTTCATATGTTTGGGTTTTATTAAAATTCTAAAAATAGCTTTTTAAAGCATTGATAATTGCCAAAAGAATATACAATAATAACGGTGTCAAGGGAAAAACCATCTTTTTGACACACTGGTTTTTTGCAGGTAAGTGGATTAAATTTTGCTAATTATTTTATGACACCAGGTAGATATAAATAATAAAACCATTTTTATTTTTAAAGATAAAAAAATGATTTTCTTCAAATAATCATTTTAAAGTTTCCTGTATGGCATGATGTCCATCATTGTTGTTGATGGAAAAACAAGGAAATAACATTTCTCAAGCTTGAACACTTTCAGTTTAGCTATTAGAGTCACAGTTTTATAGAACTTGACAACTTTTGGCTGCTATCTCAAGAATTCTTTTATGGGAACAAGGCAGTGAAGATTCCTGACAAGCTAAAGCATCTTTTACAGAATGTATTAATTGTATATATTTGGAGTTTGAGAAAGAAATAATACATTTTAAATCAAGTGGAGAAAAAAGGACAACAGAATTTATTTTTTTACAACATTTATTGAAAATATGTATAGAGAAAAATTGGCCAGGAAAACAGAAATGTTCATAATATAAAAGAGAAAGAAAAGAAAGAAGAAAAGGGATAGAGAAAGAGAGAGTAAGAAAGGGAAAAGAGAAAAGGAAGGGAAAAAATAAAGAAAGAGAATGGGAAGAAAAAAAGAAGGGAGGAAAGATAAAGAAAAGGAAAAAAGAAATGAAAAAGAACACAAGGAAGGAAGAAGTATCTTAAAAAGAAAAAATAATAAAAAAGTAAATTTTCAAAAGGAAAAAAAGAAAAAGAAAAACAGATAGGTAAGGACAATTGATAATTTTGTTAAGACTTAAAATTAGAAATTTCCATACAAGATTGCATCAGCTTTATTTTGGTAAATAAAATTAAATGTAAAGAATGGTTTGCTTTTCTAGTCTATATTGACATGTGACACGCATTCTCTGTAGAACAAATGCATGCATGATATACATAGAATTGATGCACGTGTGCATGTTATTGCAATGAGTTAAACAAAGTGAAAGGGCATAAAGTAAATAAGAAAAAAAAAATGAAAATAACAATTTAAAAAAAAAAAGAAAAAGAGAAAATGTAGACTGTCATACTTGTGGTTGTTGTAGCAAAGTGCCAAGCAACCGCATCCTTTGATTAACAGAACTGATTTTACTTTCTTCATTAATTGAATGATTTAAATCTTCCAAAAGATCAACTACGTGGATAGCCATTGGTTTCATTCCCTGAAAGAAAAAAAAAAAAACAAAAAAAAAACATCATTTTAAGATTTCTGAAAAGTGAAATAAAAACTATTTCAGACATTCATTTTTCTTTTATTGACAATTTTGTTCATTGCAACATTCAGTTTACTTTACATTCTATGGCAATGAAGCAAGCACACAATGGATTTGCAAGTGGACATTTGGTATTTTGGACACATTTCACAAGAGATAGGTGTTATAACTAGTTTAAAAATAGTCTCAGGATTTCAGAGCTGGGCTAACTCCAAGAATTTAGCAAGTTATTATCATTTGGAATTAATCAAAAATTGTTTATTTTTAGATGATTAGTTTATGATGAGTTGCTTTATCTGTTTTTGCTTAAAAAAAAAAAAAAAAAGAATGTTATAAGTGGCAGACATTCTTTTTCAAAAAAGACCGAGATCAAGTGGATTTTGGCACTCTCAACACAAATTCAGTCAAATATAAGAATTTACCATATTTTGCCTGCTTTTTTTTTTTTGGCTCTGACACCTACAACTTTGAATAACACTAATGAAAAATGCCCAATTTTTTCTCCTTTGTAGTTTATAAAATCTTCAAAATGTAAGAGAATTGTTTTCAGGAAGATATTTAAAACATACTCAGTTTTTTTCATGCTAAATTGATCATTACCTACTTTTGGCACCAAATACCATTTTTCCTTGTATTTATCAGAAAATCATGATCTAGACCACCTATTCCTATGGTTTTGGAGATTCTGAATCCTTTTTTGAAGGCTAAAAATTCCCTAAAAAGAAATCTGAATGGAGTAAATCAAAATTTATGATCTTTTTGGAAATTTTGGCAATTCACTACAGATCAAGGTTTCTATTTTCTAAATGTGAAAGTTTTGTTTTAATTTGCCTTTTAAATGCAAACAACATTAATACAGTTCCATAAGTGAATTAAGAAAAACATTCAAAGGGCTCAAAAGCCACTTATGTCTACTTGGCTCACAGCGCAGTTGTGAATGACTAAACCTTGAATGAGATTTGAACTCGTATCTCTGAGATACCTGTCAGAAAAAAAGAAAGAAAAATGAAAATGTTTCATCAAAGGAGGTTGGACAGTAACTTTGTAGTCGACAGTAGAGAAAGACTGATAAATACCCAGGGGTTGATCATTAGCCGAGTATATTTATTTTTATTTTGGCCAATCAATTGTTTGGTCTTTTTCAGTTACTGACCAAAATATGGAGAGAAAACAAATAAAATTAGTCCAATGGATGAAATGACATATTTCAGAATTTCACATATTTTAATGTTGGATTACAAATAAAATCCTAATTCCTTAGAATTTTTTTTTTTTTTTTTTTTATTTAGGATACTTGTTTGTTTGTTTAGCAACTCCTCATGGGTCATTTAATGCCAAAATTGATTTTTCTTGGGAGCATTATTAATTTCTTTTACAAAAATGTATTGCTGGTAATTTTGATTTTTTTTTTTTTTTTTTTTTACTATGAAAATGTATTACTGGTATTTTTACTATAAAAATGTTTATACTTTCATAGTGTTTTGACCTTAGTTTGGGGGTTAACTATTACTCATAGCTGAGACCCCTAACAGGTGCTACCACACCAGGTCAGTGTGAACCTGGGAACAACAGCAATTAAGAAGTGGTTCCATACTCCTCAAATCCTCACAATCGGAAGTCTTGCTGTTGGATGTAGTTTATCATCATACACAAGACCCTTCCTGATCAAAGGCCTTGCTGCTAGATGTAGTTTATCATTGTACCCAGGGTGGTATTTAGGATCTAAAAACAGAGATAGCAGACATGGGTGTCAAGAGATGTGGACATTTTTAAATAGTGTAATTGAATTTTGGCTGACTGTGAAAGCTTTTTATGGTTGAGTGGTCTAAAAACATGTTGGGCTTTACGGTGGTTTCCCTTACAAGTGGGCTGCAGATTTGAATCCTGCTAGAAGACACTTTTTCTTTATTAAGACTCTCAAATGCACAGGCTAGTAGACAAATTTACACTGCTTAAAAAAGTTGGGATGTCTACTCAAACACAAGGTATCCACTAAATATAATATTTAAAGTAATACATCCACACACACACACATATATATATATATATATTAAAAAGAAGAAAGAAACCACAAACATTTTTGGCTGTAATGCAGATTTTTAAAAAAAATATTATGCTTTATTTTCCATAATTTTGCTACACATTTCTGGTCTTGCGACCGCCATCAGGCAAAAAAATGGAGATTTCCACATATTATCAAAATAATTAATTTTTTTTGTTTTTTTTTAATGGTTTTTGATGTTGAATATTCTCGATATGAAACATTCTCTTTTTTTGTGTTAGTGATCCAAATGTCTTTCTTGAACTGGCAGTGAAAAGTTCTGCGTGAAGGGTTATAAAACAATTAAGATTGGTTTGAGAAATGATGGAGTAGTTATCGGCATGCTTATCTTTTAATGACCCCTGTGTGTTCTTAGATTTATTTCCATTTTTGTGTGCTTTTGTCAGCATGCGTGTATATATGTGTATATCCCCTCTCCATACATACATACTGTCTCACTACAAGGAATCAGTGAAACATCTGTCCACCCACAAACACACTGTCCCATTACAAAGAATCAGTACATACACACACATCAGTACATACACACACATACATACATATACTTCCCAAGTTATATGGAGTCAGTATACATACACACACACATACACATATATATATGTACACACATACTTCCTAAGTTTTGTGGGGTGGTTTGTGTGTGTGTCTGTGAGTAGTTCTCCTGCTTTTGTCAATATGTATGTGTGTGTGTGTGTGTGTATATATATATATATATATATACACACACACACACACACACACACACATTCGTGCCCCACAAACACTCATATGTGAGCGTGTGTACATGGATGTTAGCGGTTTGATCACTATATTTGGTCATTGTGTGTGCATGTTGTGTCCTTTTTCGTGTGGCGTTATGATCTATTTAGTTCTGGTTTAAATTTGTTTATGAAGTTTTTTTCGTGTATTTGTAGGTAATGGAGGAAATATTTATTCGAAGGAAATTTCACGAAAAAATTAACCCACAAGACAGAGAAACAAAAACAAATAAAAAACACACTTAGCCTAACAAAATTACAGTCCAAAATTGAAATACAAGAAGACAAAACAATATATTTTACAAAGAAATACACAGAGATTGATAACAAATTATTAACAAAAATCAAACAATTATGTGCCAAAGAAACCTGTTAGAATTATGGGAGTCAAAATGTAAAAACGAGGAGGAAAAATCTCAGAATATCTTGGAATGAAAGATAACCTGGTTGAAAGCATTACCAAGAAAAGAAAAATTGGAAAATGAGACAACCTCAATCCAAACTCACAAAAAAACACAGTACTTAACACAAAACAACCATCAGCAAATACTGAGAAAACCACCCAACAGTCAAAAACCTGAATATCTACTACCATACAGAAACAGACCCACAAGGTAAGCACCCTAACACATTCTACCATATGCAAACACATCCACAAACAAAACCCATAATGTAAGCACCCTAACACATTCTGCCATACACAAACACATCCACATAACAAATACAATTATGAACATACACTGAACAGTGTAAAAACAAACCTGCACAGACTACCACACCATAACACAAACAGACAAAGATCAGAATACACACACATTCACAAAACCAACACTTACGAATACCACCAAGCTCAACAAACCAAACCTAACAACCATTACCCATATCCAGGAGTACAATCAGAATTCCCTGAAAATTTCTACACACAATCCACATACAATCCATACAAAAAACAAGAAATCTAGAAACATCTGGAACAAGCCTCCTAACAAAAACAACAAATCTAGAAACATCTGGAACATGCCTCCTAACAAAAACAACAAATCTAGAAACATCTGGAACATGCCTCCTAACAAAAACAACAAATCTAGAAACATCTGGAACATGCCTCCTAACAAAAACAAACACACCTATATAGAGCCATTGAGAAACAAAAACCCCAATTTCATAAAAAAAAAAAAAAAAAAAAAAAAAACTCTCACTGGCAAGAAAACCCAAAATGTACAGAGAGAGGGTATCTCTTAGAAAACCCGAAATATGTTAAAAGAAACAATCATTATTTTTTAGAAGCCCATGCCTGAACAAGAAAACCAGTTTAGATGACACAAAACCCAAAATAATAAACCTATCTATATATACGCTTACAAATGACTAAATCAACCTACTGAAATTGGGCCTAAAATTCTACCCTGCTCCGAAAAGTAATATAGCAGACCTAAAAAAAAGACCTTAAGGAATTTGAACGCAAATTGAGACTAAAAGAAATATTTAATAATAACGAAAATATTACAGATGAGTCACTAATAAAAAACAAATCCAATTTATTCCCAAACAAAAATAATAATACCAATGAGCTAAATATATTTTTTGAGAAACTCTGGAATCTCGACCTACAAGAAAAATCCAAACCATTCGACAACCTCACATACAGACAAAGACTAGCCTTAGAGAGCAGCTGAAAAAATAATAACATAATTCTAAAAGAAGCAGATAAAGGCAGCGCTATAGTAATCATGGACAGAACATACTATAAAACAAAAATTCTAGTAACACTAGAGGATAGGAAAAACTACAAATTAATTGACACTAACATAGACAAAAACATTATGTCAAAAATTTCAAAACTATGCACAACATATAAAATATTAACAAAAAAAAAGAGAAGGATTTCCTAATAAACTTTGTACCAAAAACAAGCAATTTCTACGGGCTACCTAAAATTCACAAATCGAGTGAAATAAAAGCAGCTATCCAGACACAAAAATCTGAATACATTAGCATACCAAACCCCAGTGACCTTACATTCAGACAAATAATAGCAGGACCAGCCTGTCCAACTAGCAAACTCAGTAACCTAATAGACATAATATTGCAACCATTCACTAAGCGAATTAAAAACCACATCAGAGACG